CAAGGCCTTAAAATCTGTCCCAAAAGGGAGGGAAACATGCTAATTGGAGTATCTTAGATTTATATGAGTTTTGATCAATTATTTGCTTCAATGTCGTGCATGCTTTGAATCCAATACATATATAGGAAAACCCCATTAATAGATTTTTCTCTAATTTGGTAAAGCCACGTCACCCATAAGCCCACTTCTCTATCTTAAGCCACCCACCCACGAATGCACCTCCGCCTGTTCTCCTTCACGCGATGCTTTTGCCAGCGTCCATCCGCCTGTTCCCAAGTTGCTGCATGACCATGATCTCCCGTGGATAATAAAAAAAGTGCCATGACCCATGATCTCCCGTGCCAATAAATACATATACGACATGATGAGGCATCCCAGTAGCCACAAAGCCATTCCGTTACCTTAGAGCAAGGCTAATCACTTACGGTCAGCATTAGCAAAAACATATATAGTAAGCCGGCTGGTAGGTTAGCTGTATAGAATATTTTAGTATTTAATGTTTGTATGTGCAATATCATTAATTAGGATCCATTGTAAGCTACAACTCTAGGGCTATTTTAGCAAACATACAAACATGAATCACTTCATCGTAGCAACCCTAAAATAAAATACATGTAAGATATTATGTGATCGATGCACAATTGTTAAATATGTAGAGATGAAAAAATGGATAAAAAACAATAGTCAGTAACTCAGTCTCGATAGATAATAAAGTTTTTCCTATAGGATCTTCTGAAGCTTCTTTGGTAACATATCTGTTTCTATTAATAGTTTGGAAAATTAGGGATGAAGAAATCCATACATAGCTGTTCTAAAGAAAGTCCAAACATTTGTCTAAAAAAAAGTCCAAACATCCCATACGATGTGTAGGCAAGAACACAAACGGAGTACATACCATGCCGGCGCACGGGATCAAGGGCGAGGACGAAGTGCTGGTTCTGTCGCCTGCGTCAGGCTGCAATGCTGCATGCGGGCTTTTCCCCCTCGTTTCCTGTGTTACAGCCCGGCGAAGAGTAACCACCCACCCAGCACTCGCTTTCCTTTTCTCTTTCTGCCACATCAGATCTATGTGACGTGGAGATGTTCTCAGCAAGCTGACTAGGCATTATTATTATTTTTAACATAGATTAGGCATTATCATACTTGCTCTTAAAACTGCAGAAGCTCCCCCCACGAGGCTACGTCGCCTAGACACTGCAGCTCTTCTGCGTGGTCCACAATTCGATATACATGCACGCCTGGCCCTGTCGTCGCCCCGGGGCTACTTTGGCGACATGGTGCATGGTCGGGGTGGCCTTACGGTGGCGACGTGGGCGACGGCCACGTGGGTCGGGACTCGGGGCCAGCGGCGGGCGGGGCTGAGCAGGCACGCTGCGGCGGCGACGTCGACGACCGGTACGCGGGGCCAAGGTGGCGCAGCGGCATCGGCAACCGCCGCGTGAGAGTCGAGAGTCGAGCCCTAGCGGGCGCGGCTCTGGCGGCTTCTGCGACCCAACGAAGCACTTCCGTGCGAGCAGCAGGTGCGGCCACGGCGGTGTCGGCGACCAGGACGCTGACAAGCTGGTGGCACGGCGGCTTCAGCAACCGGCGCGCGAGGACGGGCAGGCGTGGCTCTGGCGGATTCCGCGTCGACCTAGCGGTGCGGATCTGGGCGAGCTGGCACGGCGGCTCCGATCCGGCGACGGGCGTCGACGGCGGATTCAGCGCTGGCCATGGTCGGGGACGCGCTGCTAAGCCGTGGTCTACGTGGCCTGCCGCGCGCTCACGGTGATGAACAGGGCAATCACTAGCTGGTGCCTGGTGCACTACTTGAGGGCGCGGAAGACACACACACACACACATATATATATATAAATATATATATATAAATATATATAACATATATATATATATACACACACGTACGGTGGCTTGTCACATAATAAGTTATTCTATGGCCACTTTGAATTACGATAATTACTATACTAATTTACGAGATTATGGTAACTCTCTCATAAGTGATTTTACTATAGCATTATGGTAAATATCATCTTGAATTATAATAACCCATGTAAAATATGTATTGCCATTATCGTAAATTGGTACAAACATTATCATAAATCAAGGTGGTCATAGAATAAGTTATTCTGTGGCCAGCTGTAGAATAGCCTTATATATATATATATATATATATATATATATATATATTAATATATATATATGTATGTATGTATGTATATGTATATGTGAACATAGTGCGGCATCATGTCTTATGAGCCGTACTATTTCAGCGAACGAATAACGTTTTTCTCTTACAACAAATCAGTAAACAATATTTTTAGTTATGGCTTTTTAGCAAAGCGAACATGGTCCCAACAACCTTTTTGAGACGCACCATCTTTGGCTAAAAAATATATCATATATCATATGTTCTCATCATCTCGAAGCGAAGTTACATTCTTCTCAAGTTGTCAATAATTCCCTAGGATGAGTGATTGTGATTTGGCAGGGTTATTCAACGTAGGCAAACAAGCAGACACGTGTTACATGTTTTGATCCATGCCAAATATAATGATATATATATATGACGCGAGCTTATATTACGACAATGACCCTGCAATTGATGAGACAAGCGGGCTCCAGCCTCAAGTAACGTGAGTGCTAGTATCATTGCCTCTCGGGTCATCACCGCATCAATATATGTTAGATCGGTGCTATTGTGTTTTGTAAATTACAAAATTTGTTGATTTTCATGTAAGCAGTACATATTATGTGCCTTTTCTTCATGTACGTGGATGCCTATTTTGATAATTGCATGGTACAACATAGACATCCACAACACGCACGTACACTCATCCCTATAAACACACATAGCAAACCATACCCTATGAGCATCTCCAAAGGACTGAGCCGGTAGATGTTGAGATTCTCGAGCTCATCTATAAATGCGTCAATGTAAGTGTGGATGTCTTCCATATTTTCTTCTCCTGGCTCAGCGTTAATGGGTGTTTCACCGTGATGGATCCAAATTGTGTAGTCCTCCACAAAAACTCGCATAATCAAGTGTGATCTAATGGTAGTCACATCATTGCACACAAGACGGTTCTTGCAATCACTACATGGACAAAGAATTTCGATTATATTCTTTGTCGCCATTAAGTGCTTCTCTAAAGCTTCAAGAAATCTATCGACTTCCTGCCGAACACCTGGCTTCCCCCTTAATCAACCATACATCCATGAGTTCATGTATTCCATCTTTTCCTACAACGATTAACAAAGCAAAAAAGGACTAAGTTAGATATAAGAATCATTAATAATCCGGAAGAATATAATTAGTATATAACAATATAATTCTAGAAGGTTCGTTCTTATTTAAAATTATAGATAATTATTGTTCAACTTTTTTAATCATATTGTTGTCGTAAAATAGACATGTACGTACAACATATTCTTCATGCATGAGAGAATAACAAAAAACCTAATTAACCAACTAATGTACCACCAAACAAGTATTTTTTTGACTTTTCTTAATTGAAATAAACAATTTTAAAGAAATAATTAGCACCAATTAATATTTACCCCATTGTTGAGCAACTTGTTGGGACATGCCATATTCATATGGGCTAAGTCCCTAGAAGAGGCCCAACTAGCGTCATTGGAGTGGCATGTAAAACCCAACCCACCAAGGGGTCACTTGTAAATTTCCGCTTGCCTATATAATGCCAAGAACATGAGGGCAAGAGGCTCTCTCTCCTCTCCCACTCATTTTTCGCAAACCCTAGTAGCCGCCTCACTCTCCCCTCTTGCGTGTTAGAGCCTTCGTCGCGAAGCCTTCTTCGTAGAGCCTCCGCACTAAACCATCGTTGCGGAGCCTTCTCCATAGAGCCTCCGCACTAAACCATCGTTGCGGAGCCTTCTCCGTAGAGCCTCCGCACTAAACCATCGTTGCGGAGCCTTCTCCGTGGAGCCTCTGTCATGGAGCCTTCTCCGTGGAGCCTCCGTCATGGAGCCTTCTCCGCAAAGCCCTTATACAAAACAATCATCAGACCTTCGTTCGAGACCTTCGTTTTGGGCCTTCGCCCGGGCCTTCGTCGGCGGACCTTCTCCGACCGGGCCTTCATTGCGGGCCTTCACTGGTCGGCCTTCTCCGGGAGACCTTCTCCCGCCGGCCTTCGTCAGGGGACCTTCTCATGCAGGCCTTCACCGAGGAGCCTTCTCCAGCTAGCCTTCACCAGGGAGCCTTCTACTCTCAACCCTATTCGGGACGCTTGTCCCAACACAACTAACTGTGATAGATCCAAACATTTTTACTATAAATACTAATATGAATGTTGACAATAAAAAAACAAATCCCAAACACTAGTTCTAGATTTAGATCTAGATGCAAACCAATCTCTATCTAAAAATTAATAAATAGACCACTAAAATGAAGACATGGTTACTAAATAAGGGGTAGAATCTTGATCGCTACTAAATTTACCCTAAAATCTTCAAAGATTTGATATAAATACACCCATAAATGCCTCAACCACCATAGAAGAAAGAAAAAAAATTAAAACCCTAATTACACACTAATCTACCTTAAAACTTTAAAAAGAGACTTGAAATAGCATTTACTTACCTTCTAAAGCCTCCTCCATCAAAGGAATCAAAATCAAAACCTTCCCCTTTAGATTTGCAATTGTTAAGAGGTAGCCTAAAGCCCCCTTCCTTCCACTTTGTGTTACATTAAATTTCCTAAGAGGCTACTAATTATACACGGGGCATTTGTCGAGGCGGCTCTATATACAACTGCCTGTACAAATGCATCTTCAAAGATGGCTTGGTTTGCCGATCACTACAGAGGTGGCTGCCACCTCTGCCGAAAACTGGCCACGTTGCTTAAAATCGTTTCTGTACCAGTGAAACACACTTTGAAATTATATATAATATGGATTAGATGGTTTACATAATTGACATGAAAGGCATCATGTTTCATGATTAGATTGACAATACACATGCATATATTGCGGGTCATATTGTCACCAAGCCACAGATATAACAATCAGCACGTGAAGCAGTATCAAGGAGAGGAGGCCTCCAAACGATGCCCGGCTGCTGCTGCTGCCTGAATCTGACCACGCTGGCCACGTCAGGGGCACCCTGCCGGGGTAGTACGGTCCATTGGTTGCGTTGCTCTCCCATGGCAGTGGCACGAAGGGAACATAGTCGCCGTCGGGGCTCTCCGGAACAGAGTCACCGGCAGGGCTCCCAACAGAAGTGTCCGGGCTCCCGCCGTCTTGCATCTTAGCATCCTTGTAGCCTACAACAGCAATACAGTTTGTGGTCATGTGGTGCTACTAATAAGCTATTTTTTGACGTTTCTTTCCGCACATTTGTATGATTCATCATCAAGTATATATGAACACTCACAGTCGAACTTCTCCCATCCTAGGACAGATCTCTTACGGTCAAAGACGACCTTGAGGCCGGTCATGAAGTTCTCTGCATGCATGAGCCAAATGATTCAGAAAATTAATGGTGGTATTGGTGGATACAAATTCCTGTAGATTTTGCAATGAGAAACGAAAGCAGGAGTACGTGAAACAAAACAACTAACTGTATATGTATTTTGCAATGAGATAAGATATAGCTTGAGAGAGAGAATAACGTACGGCCAATAGTGGCGTCCTCGGTGCTGAAGATGCTGTTCTTGATGATCCCCAAGCAGTAACCAATGGGGTGGTACGGCCCGCCGTTGGTGCTGGCAAGGACGGGGATGATGGGCCATGTCACGGGGAACACGGCGCCTCCCTTGGTCGTCAGGCTCATCGCCGGCAGCCGCCTTATACTTGTTTGGCCTGGGCTGCATGGTGCGTTTCGATCAATGGTTAGTAGTGCAAGTAAGAGCTACTCAATCTTCTGCTGCTGTTGGTTGTTGCAGTTGCAACTGTAGTAGCCTGTTTTACTCTTTACTTCAAAGCAAGTGATTCTATTTACCTCAATCTGTAGCAAAACTCGAACTTTTCATAGCCGCTGCCATAAGTGTCGCTGGCCTCGGACACCCTCGAATTGAACTAAAATAACAGAAAAATATAACTACTAGTTAAACAAACAAAAACATGTATACTCCCCCGGTCTATAAAAGGATGTAGCTATAAGATTTGTGCAATTCAAACTAGTTCAAATTTAACCAAGTTTATAGTAAATACAGTTAACATTTACGTCTCCAACTAGATTTACGATAAAAAATATTTCATAATTAATTTAATAACACTTATTATGTATCATAAATGTTAGTATTTTCTTAGGGGCTGTTTGGATCCTTGGAATTGAATTCATTCTAATAATTATAATGTAGGCATAGATTAATTAAGCTAATATAGTTGTATATGGAATATATTTGTATATTTATTGTTAGGCATTCAAGGGACATACTTATATGTTGTATTTCTATTGTAGGGAAGTGAGTTGAGGAGTGTGCTATAAATTGGAGAATAGAATTATAGCATAATGATCTATAGAATCCATTTTCATCTCCCACGCAATGAGTTTGAGATAGACTTATTTGTAAGCTCGGAAAAGTTATGGAATGTCAAATTTCAAGCCAAATAGTCTAATTCATTGTGTAGATTTTAATTTCTCCAAAATGAAGGGATCCAAACCCCCCTGGTATATTTTGGTCAAACATTTAACTGTTTCACTAATAAAAAAAAGAATTTTATCCTTTTGTGGACGGAAGGATTGACTTAAAAAAAATGAAAATTGTATCCTTTTGTGGTCGGAGAAGACAAAATAATGTTAAAAAATAGCAGCTTGGTGCACCATGACTTATCACATGAAATTTGGTAGAGTAATAACTCTACCTCAAGCTTATGGCAATATAATTATTAGTTGGACTGCACTATCGCCCGCACGCGCACGCTGAGTCCAAAGCGCCCGCACACCTGCCTCCTCCCGCGCCGCACATCCCTTATCTTCTTCCTCCCCACCCCCGCTTCCTCCCCCCGCATGGCCACGTCTTCCCTGCCTCCAGCGCCTCCCCCGCTGCTTCCTCACCCCTTCCGGCACCGGATCCGGTGACGCTGCCCATGGCTTCGGTGAGTGCCCCCGCCTACACTACCTCCCACCGCCATGGTACCTGCTTCCCGTCGCCGGTGGTAGTGTCTCGCCGGAGCTCCGCAGTTGCGGTCGGCGACCTCCTTCTTCCCCTCCCCCTTCCTCTCGCCCCATCCCGCATGCGGCCATGGTGAACTCCGACGAGCTCCGCCGAAGTCCGGCCATGGCGCCCTTGCCTCGACCTAGCCCGGCAGCTACTACTGCCACCAACTCCCCTAAACCGCCCGTCGACAATCCCCACTGCCTGGCCTGCCTGCCTCCCCCTGGCCGACCATTCTATACCCGTCGGAGTTGGCTTCTTCTTCTTCCTCTCTGGCAACCTCCTCCTCATCGGAACCCTAGCTACCACCGGAGCTGGGGAAGAGAGAGTAAGGGCGCGGGCGCAGGCGAGCGAATCGGGCGCCGGGGCCAGCGAATCGGGCGTGGGCAGTGCCTTCTCCGACGGTGGCAGCGAGCATGGTCGGTACCTTCTTCACCGGCGGCGGCGGTGGGCGTTAGTTGTGGGCGCGAATCGGACGGCCGACCGTTTTCCACCCCGAACCAGACGTCCGCGACGGTGTGCATGCCAAAGCTCCGCTGCGTGCACGCTCGTTTATTAGCATTTCCATTATTAGTTTGGGAGGGATGACACCATGTGATGTTGATACTAATAAATGATAAAAAGTGATCGGAGTTTAGCTTGAAGAACCATGGAAGAAAGAGGCAAGGACCCATCCTACGTGAGGTGGTGTCGCATGCACATCATGAGTTCATAGTGTAACTCTATTTCCTCAAACTTATGACAATGCGATCATTAGTATGCGAAGGATGAAATGGTGATAAATAGACCAACTTATTTCTTCATTCCATACATCGTATACAAAGAAATAATAACACCCTTGCAGATTATTAATTATTAATTAGTTACAAGATGATGGACTACCACGAAGTCTCAAATCAAACACCCTGCAATGTCGAAACTAAGAATAATAAACAGTGATGAGAGAGAGAGAGGCTTACATTGGTCGTGAGGAACGTGTAAGCCGGGTCGTTGAGGTAGGTAAACGACGTGCCGGAGTCCACAACGGCGGTGAACTCCACCGCCATAGCCTTGCTGTCCACGGTGATCGCTCCGACACTGATGTTGTAATAACTAGACCTGCAAAGAAAACCACAACGTCGTCGTCGACGACGACATCGATCAGATCAGTGACATGCATGTAGGCGGCCGGCCCCTGTCTGTCTCGGCTAGCTAGTCATAGAGGCCCTACTGTAAGCTCCCGGCGATGAACGGCGTCTCCGCCTGGTCCGGGCTGCCGGCGTCGCCGAAGTTGATCCGGCCGACGCCGTCGCGGCTGAAGCACATGGAGAAGCTGTCGGACGCGACGAGGCCGCTGCTGGCCAGCGCGCTGGGCACGGAGACCTTGTCCATGCCGAGCCCCATCAGGCCGCCGGCGGCAGCGCCGCGCAGGAACGCTCCCGTCTGCACCTGGCCGCACCCGAACACGATCGGCGCCTGCACCGCCTTGCTGCCGCCGCCGCCCACGAGGTGCAGCACGTCCTCCACGAGCACCCCGGACGAGCCGGTGTTGGCGGAGACGTACTTCACCTCGTAGGGGCAGCTGCTGCTGTTGCCCGTGCCCCCGGAGGCGCAGGCGTCCGGACGCTCGCAGAGCGGGTGGCCGCACGGCACCGTCTTGCTCGTCGACGACTGGATCGGGCTGTACGCCTGGTCCGTCGTGGTGTTGCCGGTCTTCACACACAGCTTGCATTCACAGGGCAGCCAGAAAAGGTCGCTGCCGGTGTCCAGCGCCACCAGGAACTTCGAGCTCGGCGTGCCCACCTCCACCTCCGCATAGTGCAAGCTGCGAACAAGATTATTACATGTATGAACAAGAGGCTCGATCGAACAACCAATGGCGACGGCGGCGGCAGGCGACTACGTACTATTCATAGGTATCGAGGCGAGTGGCATTGCCGTCGGCGAAGGTGAGGATGCTCTGGCCGTCGGCGTTGGCGAGGCCGCGGCGGCGGGCGAAGAGGGCACGGTCGTGGCGGAGCAGTGCGGAGTAGTACTCCGACGAGCCTACCGCAGCCTCCTCTGGCAACAACCAGCTGGAGCCGGGGGCGCTATGGCCTCGCGCCTCCATCCACTGCCGGACCACCGGCGAGAACCGATGGTGGAGGTTGAACCCAATGCCGCCGCCGGACACCTCGGTTCCGACGGCAAGAAACACGACGGCGGCGATGGCGACGAGGAGATTGCAGTGACAGTGAGCCATGGGGAGAAGTAGCGTGTGCAGGGACAGCAAGAAGCTTGGTGAGTTGGTGTCGATGGCGCGGGCAAATCACAGATATTTATAGGTGGATGACGATGACGAGGTGGAGGCGAGGAGAGAGACGCATGGCGTTGTTATGTGGCTTTCGTCAACGGTAGGTTTAGAGGCTGCGCCTGCGCTGGCCGGAGAAGGGCAGCTGTAAAACGACGTGCCAGAGTGATCTAAGTAGGAGATGTACGGCATGATTGTGGCTGCCTATATTCTAGCCATAATCAAGGGATGCAAGTACCTGATGATTAGTTGCTTACATGACATGGGAATAATAGCGCCAGGACGTCTGGCCCTAGGCTCACGTCCCAAAACGTAGCTCCGCAGCACCCCGTGAAAGCTTTAGTTTGATTTTGGTAAATTGATAAAATTATAAGTGCTAACCTATTTTATCAAAGTGATCATGAAATAGGTAACACTATTCTAAGTGGTGGAGCAAATGAAGATTATATTGATGGTGGTGTGACCATGGTGATCAAGTGCTCGGCTTGAAAAAGAAGAAAGAGAAAAATAAAAAGCTCAAGGCAAAGGTGAAATTTGATGGGAGTTTTTTGGTTTGGTGATCGAGACACTTAGCGAGTGTGATCACATTTAGGATCGATAGCCGTACTATTAAGAGGGGTGAAACTCGTCGTGAAATACGGTTATCAAAGTGCCACTAGATGTTCTAACTCATTGCATATGCATTTAGATTTTAGTGAGTGCTAACATCCTTGAAAATATTTGTGAAAACATGCTAACACACGTGCACAAGATGATACACTTAGTGGTTGGCACATTTGAGCAAGGGTGGTGAAGTTTGAGAAGTCAAAGAGGCCACTAGCGTGACCGGACGCTGGACCTACGCGTCCGGTCAGTGTTTGGTGTGCTTGTCCTCTGTCCGGTGGATGACCGAACTCTGGTGGTGCTGACGATCGAACGCGGTGAAGGTGAGTCCGGTCAATGCTGACTCATTGTGATGTAGCGCGGGCAGCTGAGGCAGCGAGGACCTGACGCTCGGCTGCGTCCGGTCAGGTCAGACCTGACACGTCAGGTCGGCTTTCAGGCGCTTGGGGAACTCTTTGGACCCGACCTGACGCTGGGGTACCGCGGGCACTGGCGCGTCCGGTCGCAAAGTTTTAGCGTGGGTGTGTACCTAGTCTAACGAGGCATCGGCGCGTCCGGTCTTCCTGGCCGCGCGTCCGATCGCCACTTGACACGCGTGAGGAACTCATCCGACCGTTGGCAATCAACGATCGCGGTTGAATCAGTGTGGCATGTGGCTGCAATCCCGTGACCGAACGTAGGGTGGCGCGCATCCAATCGTTTTGATCGGCGCGTGCGGTCAACACGTGTTGGGCTGCAGTGAGAGCCCAACGGCTCTATTTCGATGGAACTCTTTGGACCCGACCTGACGCTGGGGTACCGCGGGCACTGGCGCGTCCGGTCGCAAAGTTTTAGCGTGGGTGTGTACCTAGTCTAACGAGGCATCGGCGCGTCCGGTCTTCCTGGCCGCGCGTCCGATCGCCACTTGACACGCGTGAGGAACTCATCCGACCGTTGGCAATCAACGATCGCGGTTGAATCAGTGTGGCATGTGGCTGCAATCCCGTGACCGAACGTAGGGTGGCGCGCATCCAATCGTTTTGATCGGCGCGTGCGGTCAACACGTGTTGGGCTGCAGTGAGAGCCCAACGGCTCTATTTCGATGGAGCCTCTATAAAAGGTATTTGGCCGGTTCAAGCTCATCCTCTTAGCTATTTGTATTGACATAACAACCTTGTGAGCTTAGCTAAAGTCCTCCCACTCATCTCCATCATAGATTCATCATCTTTGTGAGATTGGGAGTGAATCCAAGTGCATTGCTTGAGTGGTTGCATCTAGAGGCACTTGGTATTCGTATTTCGCTGCGGGATTCGCTTGTTACTCTTGGTGGTTGCCGCCACCTAGATGGCTTGGTGCAGCGAGGATCGTCGAGCTGAGGAAGGTGTTTGTCTCTGGCTCTAATCGTGGTGATTGTGATGGGTTCTTGACTTTTCCCCGGCGGAGAGCCAAAAGGTACTCTAGTAGATTGCTCGTGGCTTCTGTGATCCTCATCTTGTGTTGGTTGTGCGGCACCCTATTGAGGGTTTGATGTGTGATGCCAATTAGCGCGTGAACCTCCAAGTGAGTGAATCGCCACAACGAGGACTAGCTTGCCGGCAAGCAAGTGAACCTCGGTAAAAAATCGTGTGTCATTTTGTTCAGAGGATTTCTTGATTAATTGTGATTGATTGGCTCCATCATATTGTGATTGGTTCTATCCTCGACACGGCGGTATAATCATCACATCATCTCTCTTGTATTTACATTTCTAGTGTTGCTTCTCTCTTTAGTGTAATTAGTTTTGAGGGCAAGCTTGTGTCGAGTCTAGTAGTTAGTGTGACTCTTTAGTTAGTCATTGAGAGCACTCTAACTTAGTGTAGTGACATAGCCTTTGCATGCTTAGAGATCATAGTTACTAGAATTATGGTAGGTAGCTTGTATTTTTAGTAGGCTAGCACAACATTTGCTTCGTCTCATATTTGTCTAACCGGTTTGTTAAGTGTTGTTGTAGAAACTTTTAATAGGCTATTCACCCCCCTGTAGCCATTAGGACCTTTCACCCGTCCCCTACGTAATAGAGCGGCTGTCGTGCCCGTGTAACAAGGGAGCCCGCCCGCTCACCGAGCCCGCAGGGGTCTCAACCTTGTCACACCTGCGTCACCTCCATAGCCAGGGTCTGCATCTCCATCGCGCGGGGAGATGCCTCAAACTTCTGTTCCAAGACCTCCGGCGGGGCCAACGGGCTGCGTGCGCAAGCACGGACGCCTGCGCGTCCTCTGGTGGAGTGCTGCCGCTAGCTTACAGTCGATGCTGCCATGGCTCCCGCACTAGCTCTCTCTTCCTCGCTAAACAGCCCTACATTGAGATCTGCTTTTACAACACACAGATGAAATAATTACAACATAAGACTGAAATAGATGAAACATTTAGAACATATACTTGTAACATAGTCATTGTAACATACACTACAAGAAAACAGGATATCAATGACCAGATCCTACCGACCACATACAATTTGTGGTCGTCGGATACCATTAGCTGGCTTTCCAAGGCTCTTAGATGTTGCCCGACGACCACAATCTTCTTGGTTGTTGTCCTGGGTTTGAATGTGGTCGCTATCTCTATTTCTTCCGCAAAGCATCTCGTTTTTATTTTTCCTGGACACCTTTTCTATTTTTCCCGCGATATTTTTTATTTTTCCTGTAATGCAACATTTACATATAACACTTTCAACATACGTCTGAAACAGATAAAACTTATAGAACATATTATTGCAACATATGTGGAAAACATATGCAAATATCCGGATCAAAACGCTTGCAACATACGTCTGGAACAAATGAAACATTTTAAACAAACTCTTGCAACATACCTCTGAAACACTTGCAACATGTGCAACATCCCACTATCTACTTTTGCAACATCCATAAGAAACAACTGCAATATACATTTGAAATGATTGAAACACCCGAAATATACATTTGCAACATAGGGGAGGGGAAGCCTGGGCCGCTCGATTCCAGCCATTAGGGTTGGAGCCGGCGACGAGCACCAGCGGCGCGCGCCAGCACCACCAGCACCGGCCTTGGCTCAGCCTGGTGGGCGGCACGTGCTATGAGAGGGAGCGAGCGGGGCGGTGCACGGCCAAAGCGAGGAGCGAGGTGCGGGTGGGGTGCGCGACGAGCGGGGAGATGAGCGAGGAGCGAGCGGCGCAGGTGGCCAGGTGGGGCGTGCGATGGTGTGGGAGAGAGGAGCGAGCGAGCGGTGCAGGGTCAGGGCGCGGTGGGAGAAGTCCGAGCGGAGTGAGCAAGCGGTGTCCGGATAAGAATAAGAGACGGAGGGAGTTAAAGTTATGGTGCACGTCACACCGTACCACGTCCGGAGAGAGTCGTTGGCGTCGGACGCCCTATTTATAGCATTATCGATATGACATTGTGTGTTTGGCTCAACTCATGTAAAAAGCTACGGATACCAGCTTGGCTCTACTCAAGTTTCTTATGCAGGTTTCTGGATGATTTTGAGTGTTGCTCTAGGACCATGCTCGTCGGATTCGAGCATTTATCTAGATAATAACATTGTTAGTGCATAATTAGCATATTGTTAATTAATATTAATTTGTTTCAGACAATATCAAAAGAGTAATAAGATAAACTTAGAGTAATAAAAATAGTTGTATATAATAAATATCCTGATTATGTTTCTTTACCTAATTTTATATCATATAATATGATCTCTTGCGAGCAACCAAACACAAATCTCAACTCTGTCAGACTAGGTAGAGTAAGCAATAAAACATTACAGTGTTGCATGTGCTCAACCTTTCCCTGTTGGAGTTTGAGATTTTTTTTTTTTTTGAAAGACATTGGGGGATGAACTATCCCCACCTGATTCATTACCACAGATCTCTGAGAAACCTGGTGGGTGGAGGGGCAGAGCTCGAGTTTAGCGTGGCGCCATAATTATCGGAGGTACATAGCGAGGGAGAAAAGGCAATATTACATGTCACTAATAGAACTCCAGAAGTTAGACAAGATGGGCGAGCTTCTTGGCATCCGACATTCGCAAAGGGCCGCTGTGTTCTTGCAGGTGGCAATTAGTCTCTTGATGCTTGGCGCCATCCCCCTGAAGACCACATCGTGACGGACTGACGGTGCTTCCACAACTCCAGCAGCATAGGAGGAGGGAGGTAGGAGCAGCCTACCGGGGAGACCTGCAAGGCGTTCTTGTTTCCCAGTCTCTGAACTTCTTTCAGTTGCCAGCCAATTCTTGTCTAGAAAGAACGGGCGAAGGAGCAGCCCGATACTATGTGATTTGCATCTTCGTCTTGGCTCTTGCAAAGGTCTATGAGTTCGAGGTTATTAAGAAAAACAAACAAAAAGTTTAAGGGGCAA